AGGTTGTGAGAAATCATGTCAGGATTAAGGTTTAGTTAAGAGACCCAAATATCCTAGAAAGCTTCCCTAAAGCAGTGCTAAGCACTTCTGTTCTGAAGGAGAACAGATAAGGTAAGCATGGCAAAGAAGTAAAATGAGAGAGACATCTTTGTAGATAAAAAAGAAAACGGTAAGTTTTTTTTGTTTTTTGTCTCCCTTCGACCCTTCCAACCACCATATATTGGTGGTGGTGGTATAATTTATTTGTATTACTGCAGTGCCTAGTAGGGGTCCTAGTAGACCAGGACCCCACTTGGTAGGCACTGTATAAACAGAGAATAAAAATACGGTCCCTGCCCTGGATGTTGTTACTTTAATTGCTGAAGGAAAAAATTTAAAACATGGATACCTAACATTAGACTGCAGGTGCTCAGCACCTCTAAAACTCAAGCTACTTTTAGTTAGATACTTAATGTTAGACAGCAAAATTTGAAAAATTTAATTAGTGTGCCTATATTAATCTAATTCTGACTCTTGGACTCTGTTCTTTATAATTTTTTTTGTTTCTACCTATTTATATAATTTACTAACCATAGTCAGTTAGGGCCACATTCTCCCATCCTTACTCACAGTGGAAGAACCTTACTCTTCAAATAGTCCTCAGTAGAGTAAAGTACTATTCAGTGAGTGAAGGTTGGAGAATTTTGGTTCTTGGAAAAAATGCGTATCCTAGAAATGCTTGCCTTAGAAATCATGCTGTATTTTTCCAAAGGTACGAGCAAGAAGGATGACTAATTGTTTAAAAACATACCCTTAGAAACCACACCTTGTTGCAGTCTGAAGGCACCTATGGCACCAGTATTTTGTTGTAATATGATGGTAGTGATGATGATGATTGTTTTAATGATACACATTCTTTGTGCAAAGCTCTGCTGGGATCTGAGGAACTGCCTGGCTGCTGGCCATTTGTTTATATTTTGGTGCATGTATGTGTACTTCCTGTTGACATTTTGTTTGATATTTCCATTTTATAAATGTCCCTTTCTCCAGTGTATTTTATAACATCCGAAAGTAGTCGTTCACAGCAAACATTCCTCTTACAGCAACTGGTTGGTTTCAGAATCATTTGTATTGCCTGAGTAAGGACTACAGGATTTAGTCCATGAGTATTGGACTGATTCTATCAGTAAGAGGAAAACTATTGATTAACCAATTCTGAGAGAATATGGATAAAAAAGATTTTACTAAGAGGATTCTACAAGGTCCTGTGATATGCTGAAGACTTCTTGCATGATGCTGCATGCCCTGAGTTCCTATTGATAAAATGGGAATTGAAGGAGCATATTACTTCACAGGAGATGCTCCAAACCAGAGCTGTTTGAAAACTTAATATTATTATTTGACAAATAACAGCAATTATTCATTGAATAGAGTATTCAACCAGATCTGTTCAGAACAGGATCACGTTTAGGAGCAGGATGAATTCAAAAGTACTAAAATTAGTTCACTGACCACGAAAGAAGTAGATCATGCTGGAGAAATTCCATGTAAGAAACCTGGAGGGATATTTCAGACTTGTATCAATGGCTTTTATATGCAAAGAATGCTCCGAATTGATTAATATTCTCCCATGCTTTAGGGATTGACTACTATACACTAGGGGCCAAAAACAATCTGACAGCAAGAGATTATAGTAAAGTTTTGGAAAAGGAACTATCACTTCTCTAGACAGTGTATAGTGAGACTGGGTTCAGTGCATTAGGAAGTAATACAGTTTAACTGTGGCTGGATTTATAAAAGGACTGAATAATTTTCTTAACAATAATAAGATTTGCTATTTTGTCCCCTAAAGTAAGAAAGAAACCAAATCCCATGGTTCAGGATGCAAGCTGGTCACCTAAGGGGTCAGAAGATAATTTTTCCACTATGTGCAGCATTGTGCAATTGGTCAGCTGTGTAATAGGATTTTTTCACCTTCCTTTGAAGTATCACTGCTGGAGGCAGGATACTGGACTTGATGGACCAATGGTTTGATACCAACTGGCAAATTTTATATTTCTGTGCCCTAAAATTCAGGGCATTATATATAGGGCAACTTTATTCCATTTCCTTTCACGCTGCAAAGAGATAATATGATAGTGCAAGATGGCCTTTGAGGTGTCCCATAACATCAAAATATTAGCTGCAGATTGTGTTTTTAGAGAAGTGTGTGTGTGTGTGTAAAATCTTAGTTGAATGTAGAAACGCACAAAAATCCTACATTCTAGGTCAGGCATTTTCAGAGTTGGGGGCTTCACCCTACAGCCCAAACAAAATGATAAAAACTCCTGTCACTTTTATGTACAATAAGAAAATGCAAAGAGCTGTATTAGGCTTTAGCTGGACCTGATTTGTGATATCTTTCTCATGCATCCATCAGGGCTGTAGGGACAAAGCAGGGTTTCCCCTTCAGTGAGACCACCATGACAAGTGAGAAAAGGCATTCGCATGGCACTGTTGTAGCTGGTGTCACAAGATATGTACGTGCCAGATGTGCTAAAGATTCATATGTCCCTTCATGCTTCAACCACCATTCCAAAGGACATGCGTCCATGCTGATGACAGTTTCTGCTCGATAGCCATCCAAAGCAGTGTGGATCGACGCATGTTCATTTTCATCATCTGAATCAGATGCCACCAGCAGAAGGTTGATTTTTTTTTTTTGGTGGTTTGGGTTCTGAATTTCCGCATCAGAGTGTAGCTCTTTTAAAACTTCTGAAATCGTGTGCCACACTTCATCCCTCTCAGATTTTGGAAAGCACTTCTGATTCTTAAACCTTGGGTCTAGTGCTGTAGCTATTTTTAGAAATCTCACATTGGTACCTTCTTTGTTTTTTGTCAAATCTGCAGTGAAAGTGTTCTTAAAACGAACAACTTGTGCTGGATCATCATCTGAGACTGCTAAACATGAAATATATGGCAGAATGTGGGTAAAACAGAGCAGGAGGCATACAATTCTCCCCCAAGGAGTTCAGTCATAAATTTAATTAATGCATTATTTTTTTAAATGAGCATCATCAGCATGGAAGCATGTCCTCTGGAATGGTGGCCAAAGCGTGAAGGGGCAAACAAATGTTTAGCATATCTGGCACGTAAATACCTTGCAATGCCGGCTACAAAAGTGCCGTGTGATAGGATTGCCAGGTGTCTGGTTTTTGACCGGAACTCCCAGTCGAAAAGGGAACCAGGCAGCTCTGGTCAGCACTGCTGACTGGGCCGTTAAAAGTCCGGGTGGCGGCGCAGCAGGGCTCAGGCAGACTTCTTGACTGCCGTGGCTCTGCGTAGCTCCCAGAAGCAATGGGGCAGCTGGGGGGCTCTGCACTCTGCCCCCGCCCCAAGCACCAGCTCTGCAGCTCCCATTGGCCGGGAACCATGGCCAATGGGAGCTGTGGGGGTAGTGCCTGCAGATGGGACAGCGCGCAGAGCTGCCTGGCCTCGCCTCTGTGTAGGAGCCGGGGGAGGTGGGGCATGCCACTGCTTCCAGGAGCTGCTTGAGGTAAGTGCCACCCAGAGCCAGCATCCCTGACCCCCTCTCGCGCCCAACCCCCCTGCCCTAGCCCTGATCCCCCTACCACCCTCCGAAGCCCTTGGTCCCAGCCCGGAGCACCCTCCTACACCCCAAATCCCTCATCCCCGGCCCCCCCGGATGGAGTGAGTGGGGGGCGGGACCTCGGAGAAGGGGTGGGGCAGTTGCAGGGCAAGGGTGTTCGGTTTTGTGTGAGTAGAAAGTTGGCAACCCTACCATGTGAATGTCTGTTCTCACTTTCAGGTGACATTCTAAATAAGAAGTGGCCGGCATTTTCTCCTGTAAATGTAAACAAATTTGTTTGTCTTATTGCTTGGCTGACCAAGAAGTAGGACTGAGTGGACTTGTAGGCTCTAAAGTTTTACATTGTTTTGGTTTTGAGTGCAGTTATGTAACAAAAAAAAAATCTACATTTGTAAGTTACGCTTTAATGATAAAGAGATTGCACTACAGTGCTTGTATGAGGTGAATTGAAAAATACTATTTCTTTTATCATTTTTACAGTGCAAATATTTGTAATAAAAATAATATAAAGCGAGCACTGTGCACTTTGTATTCTGTGTTGGAACTGAAATCAATATAATTGAAAATGTCGAAAAAATCTACAATATTTAATAATTTTCAATTGGTATTCTGTTGTTTAACAGTGCGATTAAAACTGCAATTAATCACGATTAATTTTTTTGAGTTTATCATGTGAGTTAACTGCAATTAATCAACAGCCCTACTTGTCAGTGATTTTATATGAGAACTTGAGGAGCTTCAGAAAGTGCATTAGGATTAAAATATATGGTGCCATATTTCCAAATGATCAGAATCTCACTGATATGCTTGCTGAAATTGAAAAGCTTTTGTTTTGGACCATATGACTATCTAAACGTTTATATTTTTATGAAGTTTAGTACATTGTTTAGACAATGTCATGAATATAGGGGAATTATTAACTGCTGTGAAAACTGCAAATAACAATATAATCTGAAGTTATACCATAAACTATAACAATTTGGGACAATTACTTGTGGCCAAATCTAGTCTTCATTTAGGCAAATCTCCTACTGACTCTGCCTTTAGTAAGGACTGCAAGGTTTGACTATCAGTGAATAGAAAACCACTTTATTCAGGCAGAGTACTTAAGGACAATCTGCAGTGTAGAAATATATGGTACTCTAGAAGGAAACAAGTCGTCTTTATTCAATGATGGAATTACAACTTTTGGAACACTAATAAATTCATTTGTAATATATTCACTGGCTAGAGTACGTCATAGCTTTAGAGTGATATGTTTAAATTCTTATAAAGTTGTCAGTGCTATACTGTATAACACAATAAAATGATTTTTTTCTGTTGATAGTACTTTATGTTGAATTCAGTTCTTTCTGTTGAATATTCTTTGCTTGCATTTGACCTTTCTTTATGTTGATTTTGCTTCATTTTTTTCATTTACCATGCTGTTCAGTTTTTGGATGCCAGGAGAACAAAGGTTTGTCCTCTTTTTGCAGTCAATTTGTTTTGCAAAATTCAGAATTGCTTATCATTTGTTCTATTTTTGTTTGTTTGAGATGCAGTAATCCTGTTTACTAAAGTTGTTCATTTATTTATTTTTTTGCAAATAAAGCTATTAATTTTTATTTATGGGGATGACTATGATTTGCATTATAGCATGAGCAGTACCACTGAAAAAAGTGGAAGGCAGAATTACTTCTAGTATATGAAACAACTTAGAAAACAAGGAATACTGCGTCTTCAAGCTTTATAGGCACAAAGTGTACTAGTGGTTGTGTCACTTTGAGATTTTTGCAACAGTTCACTTTCTCTTCACTGCCTAGTTTTATTAAGCATTAATTTTACCTGTAGCTGACACTATTTTGTGTTTGTGTTTCCATCCATGTTTTATATTTTTCCAGTAGCAGTTGAAAACCTTCATTACAAGTATTTTGTCACAGATGCATTTGACATTTTTATATGGTAGAATCATCACTGAGTCTATTAACTTTTGTACCTTTACCTACCAATAGATTAACAGAAGAAAAACTACATTTAGATCCTTCATTTACCTTATTTTTTTTTTTTTTTGTATTATAGCATTTGCAACTGACCATCCAGGCACTTCAAGATGAGCTTCGGACTCAGAGAGACCTTAATCATCTTCTTCAACAAGAAAGCGGAAACCGAGGAACTGAGCATTTTACTATTGAGCTTACAGAGGAGAATTTTCGAAGACTTCAGGCAGAACATGATAGACAGGCTAAAGAGCTCTTTCTCTTGAGAAAAACTCTAGAAGAAATGGAGTTGAGAATTGAAACACAAAAGCAAACACTAAATGCCAGAGATGAATCAATAAAAAAGCTTCTAGAAATGTTGCAAAGTAAAGGTTTGCCATCCAAAGGAATGGAAGATGACAACGAAAGAGCTCGAAGGATGGCCGAGGCTGAATCTCAGGTTAATCATTTAGAAGTGATTTTAGACCAGAAGGAGAAGGAAAACATACATCTTAGAGAGGTAAGAAAAGCACCTTCCTCTTAAATCTTTTCAGATAAAAGGACATTTTCCTAATTTTGAAAATATATGTTATACTACTTTGAAACTTGAAACTGGAATCTATTTTCTTTTTGACTTTTCTTAAAACAAAAAAGATATTGAAACATTTAATTTGAAATTCTTCCAATCCACAAACACATAAACATAAAGAATTACATGGACTCTGGAAACAGGTATAAGAAAATAAATTAGGTCACATTTTGGGTTTTCCCACTTTGAATAGTGTCCCTTTAGCCACCAAGATACATTTCCTTTGAAAAATCAAACTTATGCAGCTATTGAGGAGAGAATGAATAGCTACTGATACTGAAAATTAAATAAGGAAGAGTTGACAAAAATGGAGTAAAATGGTGCAAGCTTATTTTTTTTTCTCTTTGACTGTCTTGTTCTTGGCATTAACACATGCAGGTTTCTGCTTCTGGTGTAAGACTGGGGGTTGAATCAGCCAAAGATCTGTGGCAGATCAAAGCATTGCATGTTGAATGTGAGGTGGTGGGAACTGGCTGGTACAGCAAATGTCTTAGAGTGGCAAAATGGTACATTTATCCAGAAAGGTTGGAACCACTCATCTAAATTCATTAAGGAGTACACATAATTTCTGATCAGAAGTACTTATTGTCCTTGTCATGGAGTAATTGTTTATGTTTACAGTTTCTTCAGTACTGGGAGAGAACAGCAGGAAGAAATATTTTTAAAGCATTCTTTTACATTTTCTTTTTTCTTTCTAACTTCTACAGCCTAGCAGCTTTCCTGTCAGAAGGAGATATGGGCAAATCAGTTTGTCTGTAAAAAGAAATGACTCTAGTCTTCACCAGCCCTGAAACCAAGCTGAACTCAATTCTGCAGTTCAAAAAAGTTTGTTAATTTGTATATCTTTGTATGACTCTGAAGTTACTAGTCTTAGGTGAAATATTAAGGACATCCCTATTCTGGTGGTATTTGACCCATCTGAAGCCCAGAAGTACTGGAAATCTCACAAGACTTGTTCTTATATTTCTAACCCATTTTTCTTTCTTTCTTTGCAACACCCTGCTTTTTCAGGGAGGAAGAGTAAAGTTTTGTTCTCTAGGCATTGTGGGTCATAAAGCCTGTACCCTGAAGACCTTTCTCAGGCAAAACTCCCACTAAAAAGAAAAGTTATCCATTAGTAGGGTCTGAAGTCAATGGGATATTAAAGGAATTGCACCTGCTTGCATCAGCACTGAATTTGGCTCATAGTCTGCTAGAGTGAAGCTTCTGTGTTGTACTCTCTAGGCTATTAATCTAGCTTCCTGGTTTTGATCTGCTCTTGTCAGAATGACCTGTGCTGTTTATTTTAGGGTTAAATTATTTATTCATTTTTCATTGGCACTGTTTGTATCATGGAGCTTAGTATCAGTGTTGTTTAGGTCTGTGAGTAAAGCTATATAGGAATGGAATGTGTTTTACTTTCAAGTTTGATAATACTGCTTTGTGATGAAGAAATTTAATTTTAATACAAGGAAATGTGTAACTTGGGGTACTGAATGGGCAAATTCAGCCTCCACTTCTGCTCCCCCCCCCAACAAAATGGAGGTCCTCAGAAAGAATCCTGTCCATAAGTTAGGAACGGTTTTGGACCTTTATGGGACAGACTGCATACAATTAGTGAATCATACCCAATTTTGCCACCTGGGTCTTTCCCTTAACAAACATTAGCAAAGCAATGGTCCCAACATAGATATATTGGACTCCACTCTGTGATGAAATATTTACCAAGAAGCTCCAACTCCATGAGGCTAGATTATCCACTATAGAAAAAGAATATTAGAATGTCAGGTAGCTATTGGTTGCTCTCTGGTGTTATCTCTGGGGGCCCTCTTTTTTGTTCTGGTAACTGACTATGCCCCCTGTGCACTGGCAACACATCATGAAAGTTTCCAATCTTCAGTTCGTACTGCATTTCCTCTCTTTGTAGCTGCACATTTTGAGTTCTATGTTACTTGAGGACACCTGAATTCAGATTTTCTCTCCTGAGAATGTAGAAAAGCTGTGATCTAAAGGGATCAGGCTCCTGGACCTAATCTATGGGAGAGGTATGTGATAGGGTGTATCCCAGGGAGGGGACCCTGAAACCATACCACACCAAATCTCAATGGCATTGATAGGAAGAAGGCCCACCAAGCCAACCAGGACCCAGACAACACTGGGGTTTTGAATATAAATTGTCAGCCTGGTTTTGAAGGCTATGCAGGGAGGCATTGCCAGCTGTGAGCAAATTACATGCAGTGGAGTCCATTTAAGATCAACACCTTAAAGAAATGATTACTTTCAGACAGGAGAAAGAGGATTGTACTGTCCAGAAGCAGAGAGCTCTTATTGACCCATTGGAGTTACTCTGTATTGTTTGTACTATGGGTATTATGTTTATAAATTTACTTCTTGCAAAACTGCATGGAATGAAATACACACTTTTTGCCAAATTAGTTTCAATTTGGGCTATGCCAGAATCTGTTCAATAAAACCCCATCCAGACAGGGTGACATTAATCTCAAACCTGAATCTCTGTGAACCTTTGTATTGTTCTAGCTCTACTATATTTGATTTTTTTAAAAGATCTTTTAAAGGTACCTTGAAATATCTTATCTTCTCTCACATTTCTGCCAGAACAAGAAACCAATATTTTGTAAAAGAAATCTGTACATTTCTATATACCTCTTTATTGGCTGGTTTATAGCGATGTGTAAAATTCATTGTTTCAAAGTAAAGAATTTTTTATTCTCACTGCATCTCTCTT